TAGAATAGAATAGAATAGAATAGAATAGAATAGAATAGAATAGAATTATTTATTGGGCAAGTGTGATTGGACACAAAAGGAATTTGTCTTTGGTGCAGAAGATGCTCTCAGTGTACATAAAAAGACACGATGCATTCATCAAGAATCATAAGGTGCAACAGTGATAGTCATAGGGTACAAATAAGCAGTCAGGAAACTATCAATATAAATCGTAAGGATATAAGCAAGTTACAATCATGCAGTCATAAGTGGGAGGAGATGGGTGATAGGAATGATGAGAAGATTAACAGTAATATTAATGTAGCCTTAGTCAATAGTTTGACGGTGTGGGAATCATTTGTTTAGCAGAATGATGGCTTTCAGGGCAAAAAAATTATTCTGTTGTCTAGTTGCCTTGATGTGCAATGCTCTACACCGTCGTTTTGAGGGTAGGAGTTGACACAATTTATGTCCAGGATGAGAGGAGTCTAGATATTTTCAAAGCCGTCTTTTTGACTCATGCAGTGTAAGTCAAGTGGTTTGTGACTTAAAACCACAATTGGAACCGGGCTTTTTACATTGCTAAGCAAGATGGTTGTGAAATGAGTTGCATCTCACTTTACAAATTTCTGTGCCCTGGCCGTTAAACATATCCCTGCAGTTTAGTTAAATTTATCGCGATGAAGCGAATCTGACTTCTTCCGTTGACTATGCTTGTTGGAAAGAAGCCAGCTAGGAAAGTCCCAAATGGTGTTCTCATAACTCTGGGATGCTGCAGTCCTTGTAAATACATGCCAATTGCCAAGCTCCCACATTTTGATGATCGTTAAGTGTGAGGGCCAGTCCCCAAGTCAATTTTTTTTCAATACCGTTGTAACTTTGAATGGTTGTTAAATGAATGTTTGTAAGTCGAAGACGACCTGAAGAAGGCCCCTCTTAAGAGCCGAGGTGGCGCAGTGGTTAGAGTGCAGCACTGCAGGCTACTTCAGCTGTCTGCAGTTCGGCTGTTCAAATCTCACCGGCTCAGGGTTGACTC